GTGCCAGCTAAAAGGGTAAAACATATTCCTATATCTTGTTACTGGCAAAGGAGGTCTCATAATGATGACAATCTTGTTAACATGTTACTCTGATGACAATCTTGTTAACATGTTACTATGATTGATGACAATCTTGTTAACATGTTACTATGATTGATGACAATCTTGTTAACATGTTACTATGATTGATGGCAATCTTGTTAACATGTTACTATGATTGATGACAATCTTGTTAACATGTTACTATGATTGATGACAATCTTGTTAACATGTTACTATGATTGATGACAATCTTGTTAGCATGTTACTATGATTGATGACAATCTTGTTAACATGTTACTATGATTGATAACAATCTTGTTAACATGTTACTATGATTGATGACAATCTTGTTAACATGTTACTATGATTGATGACAATCTTGTTAACATGTTACTATGATTGATGACAATCTTGTTAACATGTTACTATGATTGATGACAATCTTGTTAGCATGTTACTATGATTGATGACAATCTTGTTAACATGTTACTATGATTGATAACAATCTTGTTAACATGTTACTATGATTGATGACAATCTTGTTAACATGTTACTATGATTGATGACAATCTTGTTAACATGTTACTATGATTGATGACAATCTTGTTAACATGTTACTATGATTGATGACAATCTTGTTAACATGTTACTATGATTGATGACAATCTTGTTAACATCGAACTTGTCAGTGTGTGGCTCTGGCTTCTTTGTTGACAGGAGGTTGAATTTAGCAATCAAGTTAACTTTACATTTGGTTGACATTGAAGTAGCTGAAGAAACTGTCATGTTATCTCCATGGTCCCAATCAGATGTGGACATTTTATCTGTTAATTCTAAGTGTGATTATAAGATAATCTTGTCTAAATTATCAAGTTCAAATCGGAGCAATCGTATTCTCTCTGAGATTAGAGCTAGGCTGGCCCTAGACAAGATTCGTTTAGAGTTAGGAGAAGTGACAGCAGCAGATGTGAGTGTAAAGGCGATCAGCATTACCTTAGTGTCACGGCATCTCTTTAGAAAGGTGAGACTCGATCCGGTGAGCCTTCTTATCTCGCAGTCTGTTAAAAGATCTAATAGTTGTGTCCATCCTACCTGCCTATGTCAGCTGTTATTTCCGACTCCTTGTGTCTCTCTCTCTCTGTGCCTCTCTCGGATCTCTCCCCCGGTGACTCAGGTGCTGCTGCGGGGTCCCACTTTCTGCCCCCCCCCCCCCACTTCTCTCTCCCTCCTACTGCCGAGGCCTGCTATATAACCTCGTGCCACGGCAGCTCTCTCGCCTACTTCAGCAGTTTTTTCTTGCCGTAGTTGTCTCACCTGATGACGATTGCTTGTGTTGCGATCGAAACGTCGTGATCTATTATTTGTCTACCTACGTGACTTTACCGAAAGAACCAAAGAGTTTGGATTCCTACAGTCAGGAAAGCTTCAAATCACAAATGTGAAACAGGATTTCTCATGAAAGTTCGCGTTCCTCCTGTACTGTGCAATATTCATGACAAAAAGGAAGAAAAAACGTATACGCGCATGAATTCTGCAACAGGCGTTTGTTCCCATAATTTTGTTTTCATTTTATTGGAGTACACTTGCAGGTTAATCAATCCAAGATTTATAACACGCCAGAACGACTTAATTCACCATCGGGATTCTTTAACCATCGGGGGGTGGGGTGGGTGTCATCGAGTTTGCAAACAACATCCTCACTAGAGTCGCTTGATGGCCCTGCCTCTCGCGAGCTCTTCCCGCCTTGTGAAGGTGCCGTACCGGTCACCAGCACAGCGGAGAGTCCACTTCAAGGTCACGTTACTCTCCTTCATGTGTACGTAGGTATGTAGAACATCTTTCGCACCGTACATAGCCAACTGTGCTAATTGGAGGTACGGGGGAAGGACAATAGCAAAGACAACCGGTCAACCACCCGACTACTTCAGAGATTGCCACCCATCCATTTGGACCACCACTAAAATCTACGTTCATCTGGTTTGGAGCTGCTCTGCTCTTGTGAGATCTACTCGGCTTAGGAGAGTGGATCGGCCCTGTCCAGCAGTCTCTGACAACTCACCACATCGCGCGCTTTTGGATGCGGTTCTGCGGCCGTCTAGAAGGCTCTTCTTTCCGATATTAGGAAGCCACTGGAGCTGCGCACTTTTCAATCATCTAGTTTTTTTAAAACCCCTTTTTATGTTTAGTGTGTTGTCCTTCCCCCGCACCTACGTACGGTGCGAAAGAAGTTCAACATACATACAAGTCCCGTCAGCCATGACAGTCAGTGCCATTAAGACCAGGAGCAAAAGCATTTCCCTCTTCTGTTGCGTTTAATTTCGTGTCATCCTCTCTGCGCCATCCGCGCTTCTGTCTCAGCTCTTCGCCGAATGTGGTTTACGCGTTACAAATCTTGCACCGATTGATCAAAGAGGGGGTTTGGCCACGATCACTCAGCCGGCACGTGTGGGTGACCGTGGAAATGATATTCACCCTAGCAAAGCCCCTCACAATGCATAGGGCCCACAATCTCCACCATCACCACGCGTCATCAAATGGCATTAGCCAGGATGACTGATTGATGCAAGTACGATGAAAGTGAAGAACAACCGCCCCTAGCCCTCAATGGCCCATGAGTCAGATGTCTTCCTGTAAGGCCAGAGTTTCATGGTTTGGGTTCGGCCCTGCAGGCCATCCGCAAGATGGCCGCCTGAGGCGCGCACGCTCCCGGGGCGCTCCCGGGGCGCTCCCGGGGCGCTCCCGGGCCGCGCTCCCAGCAGCGGCTGGTGGGGGCCGTTTGTGAGGGGGCCGAGGGAGCCGACGGAGCCGAGGGGGCCGACGGAGCCGACGGAGCCGGGGGAGCCGGGGGGGGCCGACGGGGCCGGGGGGGGGGCCGACGGAGCCGGGGGGGGGGCCGATGGACCCGGGGGGGGCCGACGGAGCCAGGGGGGGGCCGATGGAGCTGGGGGGGGGCTGACGGAGCCAGGGGGGCCGACGGAGCCAGGGGTGAGCCGACGGAGCCGGGGGGGGGGCGACGGAGCCAGGGGGGGGCCGACGGAGCCAGGGGGGGCCGACGGAGCCTGGGGGGAGGGGCGACGGAGCCGGGGGGGGGGGGGGTGGGGGGCGACGGCGCGAGCAGAGGGAGCCAACACTGACTTTCTCATACATCATGCACTGACTCACACATCATGCACTGACTCACTCACACCATGCACTGACTCACTCACACATCATGCACTGACTCGCTCATCATGCGCTTACTCACACATCATACACTCGCACAACCACTGATCCATTCACTCATCATACACAGATTCACTCATCGTGTGCTGGCTCATTCGCACATCATACACTAACTCACACTGCCGCTGACTTGCTCACACATCATATACTGACTCACTCATCATGCGCTAACACATCGTGCGCTGACTCACACATCATACACTCACTCAACCTAATACTGACTCAATCATCACACGCTGACTCGCACATCATACGCTGACTCGCACATCATACACTCACGCTGCTGCTGACTCACTCACACATCATACACTGGGAGTGTCGTTCTGCCAGCTATGGCTGCAGGTTTTGTCGTACGTGTTATGTATATCGTTTATTGTTAAATTTAAAATCACAGTTCCTATGATTACTGTTGTTACATTGTTTTTGTAGCTTTATTTTGGTCTGGTTGTGGTGTAATAGTTTTCTGCAATGTAGATTCATATTTTGTTTGTTGCGGTTGCACCCGACTTAAGAGCCGCAAGGCTCACAGGGCTATACCTCATAAATGAAACTTGAAACACTTTAAACTTGCTTGTTAAAACTGTAACCGCACCTCCGATTATCACGGTTGGCTACGTACAGTGCAAAAGAAGTTCAACGTACATCCTGTACATTAGCCATACACATGTGAAGCTCCCTCTACGCCATGACTTTATCAACCATTAACACGATGGCAAATGTCACATTTTGCTCTACGCAGGTGTCTGGGTGTTCTGCACAGAGTGTTCCATTACATCCCTCACCTCTGATTAGCATGGTTGGCTTCGTACGGTGCGAAAGAAGTTCAACATACATACACACATACGTACAGACGTACATACATACGGAAAAATACACTTCCCCACCCCTCTTACATTGCGTTTCATATCGGACAAATTTCATGTCCACATTTAAACTCTTTTCAACATTAACACTCGTAAGCCTTGTCTTTCAGTAGGCATCCAGAATGCTTTACGTATTCCCTTGCTCTACATACGAAGTCACGTTTCGTCCATACGAGTATAATGTCCCAACGTGCAGGCTACGTGGCTATAGGGGGTAAATGAGGACGTTGCTGGGGAAAGCGAGGGTGATGCAGCAAGTGCACGGCCTAGGGTTTTCAATCTCACTTGAACATCACGGGCCCAGGATTATAATAATATACCAAGTAAGGCCCACTGATCTACATAGTTAGTTTTCGTAAGTGACCACAAATGATAGCTCAACGAAGTGGCGTATCATCACGTAGAAATTTACATCAGCCAAATACTCTAAACGCATGATGTTGATTCTAAATGTGGAGGGAAAAAACGGAGGACCCGGAGAAAAATCCACGCAACCACAGGGGGAGAGACGACCTTCTGTACAGCAGGCGAGATAGTTAACATCTCGCCACCATTGCCTAAGGTTTTCATTCTCACTTCAACAATGCGGCAACCGCCACCCCACAACTCTCCGCTACGTTGTGGGGGCCATGCCGCTCCACGCTGCCGTTAGCGCGACATCTGACGTTTCACTCCGCCAACCGTTCCGGAAGCTTCTTCACAAACCTAATTTTTGTGCTTCCTCAATTTGAGTAATTTTTTTCAGTTCCAGAAGTAGCACCCCAGCACGGTGGTGGACCGAAACGCCGGACGTCGCGCCGAACTGCAGAGTGGAGCGGCACGGGCCCCACCAACACGTGAGGCCGGTGCCATGTCCGACTCCCCCTGCCCCCCCCCCCCCCCCCCCCCCCCCATCCTGCAGCGTCTACAGAGAAGTGCCGGCGATCTCCCGATGTTTGACGAAGCTGCCTGCGTCCTCATATGGGTTGTATGCGCTGTTGTCCGCCTCCAATCCGGCAGTGCCGTTTGACGTCGCCAGAGGAGGCGTCTTCTTGAATTTGCGCTTGTAAATCTGATAGACTGGGACACGTGCACACGCCACGAAATGTTCACTGTGATTACATGCCCGCACAGATATCGCTAGACTCACACTGATACCCATAGACTCACACAGATACTCAGAGATTCACACAGATACCCCTAAACTCACACTGATACCCATAGACTCCCACAAAAACCCAGAGATGCACACTGATACCTATAGACTCACACAGATACCCATAGGCTCACACTGATGCCTATAGACTCACACAGATACCTATAGATTCACGTAAGACACTCACAGACTCACACAGATACCCCTCGATTCACACTGATATCCAGAGACACACACAGACACCCAGAGACTCAGACAGATACCCCTAGACTCACACAGATACCCCTAGACTCACACAGATACCCCTAGACTCATACAGATACCAAGAGACTCAGATTTATAAACCCCATAGACTCACACATATATCCATGGACTCACACAGATACCCATAGACTCACACAAATAACCGCAAGACTCACATTGATATCCAGAGACTCACACAGATACTGCTAGACTCACACATATACCCATGGACTCACACAGATACCCATAGACTCACACAGATAACCCCCAGACTCACATTGATATCCAGAGACTCACACAGATACTCCTAGACTCACACAGATACCCCTAGACTCACACAGATACCCCTAGACTCACACCGATAACCCTAGACTCACACAGATACCTAGGGACTCACATTGATAACCCCGTAGACTCGCGCATATACCCAGCTATTCACACAGATACCCTTAGACTCACACAGATACTCAGAGACTCACACAGATACCCCTAAACCCACACTGATATCTATAGACTCACACAGATACCCAGATAATTACACTGATACCCATAGTCTCACACAGATAGTCATACTTACACAGATACCCATAGACTCACACTGATATCTAGAGACAAATACAGATACTCCTAGACTCACACAGATACCCCTGAATTCAAACAGATACTCAGAGGCTCACACTGATGCCCATAGACTCACACTGATACCCATAAACTCACACAGATACCCATCGACTCACACAGATATGCATAGACACACAATGATACCCATAGACTCACACAGATACCCTTGACTCACACTGATACTCATAAACTCACACTGATACCTATAAACTCACACTGATACCCATAGACTCACACACATACCCTGAGACTCACACATACTCAGAGACTCACATTGATATCCAGAGACTCACAGAGATACCCCTATATTCACACTGATACCCAGATACCCACACAGATACCCATACACTCACACAGATATCCATAGACTCACGCTGATCCACATAGACTCACACAGATATCCCTAGATTCACACAGATACCCCTAGATTCACACAGATACCCATAGACTCACACTGATACCCATACACTCACACAGATATCCATAGACTCACACAGATACCCAGATACTCACAAAGATACCCATAGGCTCACACAGATACCCAAAGACTCACACAGATTCACAGAGGCTCACACAGATGCCCCTAGACTCACACAGAGTACCCAGAGACTCACACTACTACCCATACACTCACATAGATATCCGTAGACTCACACTGATATCCCGAGTATCACACAGATTACCCATAAACTCACACAGATACCCTTAGACTCACACTGATACCCATAAGCACACACTGATAACCAGACTCACACGGACACCCATAGACTTACACTGATACCCATAGACTCACACTCACACAGATACCCCTAGACTCACATTGATACCCATAGACTCACACTGATAACCATAGACTCACACAGATACCCATAGACTCAAACTGATGCCCAGAGACTCACACAGATACCCAGAGACTCACTCACATAGATGCCCACAGAGTCACGTGGACTCGAAGCAGCCAAACACTCATAACTGAAATCGGTCCAACGTTCCACTGTAGCAGGGCCCTCCTGTGGCCTTCCCGGGTACACGAGTCAATGTTGTTCTTGATGTTGTTGTTGCAATAGCGATGCAACGTACTCGCCACGAAGATGAAAGCGGTGGCCATCTGGAAGGCGCTGTAGATGAGCGGGAATGTGAACATGCGCACGAGCTGCTCGGGAGTGAAGGACAGCTGGACGATGGTGGTGCACAGCTGGCTGTTCTGGGCCCCAGTCTCCATGGCGATCGTGCGGCACCTGTCGCACAAAGACACGCGATTGGAGACACGCCACCGCCGTTGTGAATCCACTGCTCGATGAAGCGACAGTCCCCCACACACCGCATGCCAGTTGATCTCATCGCTCCCTATCTCGGACGTGTCCCGTCCCTGGGCTGCCACTCTGTGGTTGTTCTCGACCGTCACTCACCATCCCTTCTGGTCGCGACGCGTTCTGGCTAAGCCCTCCTCGTGCCAACGATGCCACGGCCTGCGTGTGTATGTGTACATACGTTGAACTTCTTTCACCCCGTACGCGCCATTTGGAGGTGTGATCTGTGATCCGTGGTTTACGTGGACTAGAGTACAGCGAACCCCTTTTTGTGTTGTGTTGCTCTCCTTCCCCTGTGCCTCGGATCAGCACAGTTGGCTAAGTACAGTGACAAAAAAGTTGTACATACATACGTACGTAATATATATGTCTATGCTATTCTCCCAATAAGCTCTGAATATGAATACTCGCGGACACTTAATGTTCGCGCCATTCTCCAGAACGCATGTCCCACACATATTATGGGTCCAATGTACAAGGCACGCCTATACGTAATAATGCCAAATATTAACCCGTGGGTGTCCGCAGTAAACATTATGATTACATAAAATAGATTTTAGGTTAGGCCACAGAATGCTCCACCGCCCGATATCGCCAATCTGGCTGCGTCGGGTGGTGGAGGGTTTACACGACAAACATTTGGCCACACAATTACGTGGCCAAACCCAAAAACGAATTCGGAATTTCATACACGACCATGCCCTGTATCCCCATAGTCCTGTGACCAAAAATGGGACCTTTTTGCCAGTATCAAAGTATGAATGTTCACCACAAGTACGTTGTATGGTTAATGCAGGCATGATTCCTTGCAAGAGGTTTCCCTTTGGTGTTTGAACATCTTAACACCTCCTGTTATATTGCCAGAAAGGCTAAAACCTATTCCCGTGACCAGGTTCATAAAAAAGTGAGGACTAGATAGCACGGTTTGCTATGTATGGTGCAAAAGAAGTTCAACGTACATACATAGATAAGGCGAGGAGGATGCAACGCACCAGAAAATCATTCCTTTAGGAGACATTCTGGACAGTCCCAAACATTCCAATGGAGTAGGACCCTGCTGAAAAATAGTCTTCAGACTCAATGTGACCGATGGACGCACATAAAGAGAAATACACTCATATAGAGACCCACAGACTCATACAGAGACCCACAGACTCACATATAGACCCATAAGAGTCACATAGAGACCCACAGACTTATATAGGGACCGTTATACTCACATAGAGACTCATAAGAGTCATATAGAGACCCATAGACTCCCATAGAGACCGAAGACTCACATATTGATCCACTTACTCACATAGAGACCCATAGACTCACATAAAGACCCACAGACTCAGACAGAGACCCACAGACTCACATAGAGACCCATAGACTCGCATAGAGGCGCATATGAATCACACAGAGACCAACAGATTCACACAGAGACCCATAAGATGTCGACTTGCAAGAAGCCAAGCACTCTTGTCTAGGCAGCGGCTAAAGTTCCCACTGTGGCAGCAACCTCCCGAACACGAGTCTTCGGAATCAATGCGGCCTTCCCAGGAAGACGGTGGAGTGCCGTGCACACCTCTGCCAGGGCTGGTTGACGAGCTTGGCGAGGCCGAAGCCGAGCACGTAGCCGATGATGGGGAAGATGCAACCGATGATCCACATGGCGGGTTCGGTGTCCCAGGCCCCCTGGTAGAGCAGCGCCCCGGCCACGGAGATGGCGATGATGAGGATGCCCCCGAGTACGGAGCCGATCTGCGCAGCGGCGAGGAGAAGGAGGTGAAGAGTTAACGTGAGAAAGTTAATACAGGATTTTTGGGGTTAGATCGCGTTACATCTAAATGTGTCGTTAAACCCGCCACCATCTAACAGCCAATTAGTAAGGTTTGTCATGTAAACAAAACATGCTAATTCGTTACTAGTACAGCATTGCGGTGTGTTGGAGACCAAAGCCACAACATTTACCCTCTATATATGACGTTTCGCCAGTAATTACAACTAGCTTCATCAGGCGGACAGCCAGATTTGTGGAGAAATCCTCCTGTTTCATTCCTTATGTAGTGGGTTCCAGGGAGACCGGAGACGAAGCGCTTGAGGCACACGTTTATTCAATACAACTGCGGGATACACGGGTCCCTAACACAGAGGGGTAGCGGCCCCTCTACCCGATACCTAAGGAGGTACAGCATCCGGGATAGCGTGTCCTAACCACTCGGACTACACTCGCGTTCCTCCAGCCAAGGTCCTCGGGTCCCAACCACTGGCCCACTGCAGCCCCGGCCCTTAGAAGGACGGCTGGTCTGGGGGTTCCCAGGGTCCAAGCCTCGCTGGTCTTCTTTCTTCAGCTTGACGAAGACTGCCGGACTCGTCCAGAGGTCCGGCTTTTATACTCGTGCCAGGGTCTCTCCGCCCCTGGCCATGCCTCCCTTCTGAAACGCTCTAGGGGGCTCTGAAATATCTTCCCCAACCCCTCTCTTGGGGTTGGGAGAGCCTAGTGTCCCAACGGCCCGGCTCATCCTGCCTATCCCGGGTTACCACCCCCTATGGACACATGTGTGCATAACAATGCTAGATACAATGCCTGACACCGACGAATACACTTAAATAGAGGGGTAGATATGATGGCATCGTTTGGGAGCCCTTCTTGTGCGAGGGGGGGGGGGGAGTAAATAAATGCATATCAATGACAATGGATATCCATTGCCGGTTCGGTTGTTCATATGGCAATAAACGTACATTATGCATGCACATTGTTCTGGATGATATTGGTCGCGAAAGCCTACGTGTTAAACGAGGGGAAAGTTGAAACTATCGTCATCATCGTCATCACGATCCAGGGGCAGATACCCCGTAGGTGTCCACTGCACATTTCATAATTTGTTTACACTTTCCTCTGTCTTGTACCAATACGCTCAAGTATGTGTTGAAGCTATACAACTATACTATGAACAAGTTGTATGTTTTACCATTTAAGGCCCACCGAGCTGCATAACTTTTTTGCAGAATGATAGCTCAACGAAGTGACTTATCATTATATGGAAATGTATAGCAGCCAAATACTCTAAAACGCTTGAAAGAGACACACAAACTCCAAATATACAGCAGGCGTCAGGGTCGGGATTGAACCCACGCCTCCTGTATACAGCAGGCATCAGGGTCGGGATTGAACCCACGCCTCCTGTATACAGCAGGCGTCAGGGTCGGGATTGAACCCACGACCTGTATACAGCAGGCGCCAGGGTCGGGATTGAACCCACGACCTCCTGTATACAGCAGGCGTCAGGGTCGGGATTGAACCCACGCCTCCTGTATACAGCAGGCGTCAGGGTCGGGATTGAACCCACGCCTCCTGTATACACCAGGCGTCAGGGTCGGGATTGAACCCACGCATCCTGTATACCCGGCGAGGGAGTTAACATCTCGAAGGACAACCATTCACCTAAATGACAGACCCACTCAATTTAAATTAAATAATACATCCGCTGCAACGATGAATATCACTACTGCGATATAGAAGCAGTTTTTACAAGTCAGAGTGGTTTCCTGCTGCTCAAATGAGCATTGTTGGATTGGTGCTCATCTTCTGTAAACAACACTGAGCCATTCCTATGGCAGGGGCAAGACTGTCCATAGGACAACCACTGTGAACTTTCCCACAGAGTGGTTGGAGATAGTTAATATCTCGCCACCGGGGCACCCATAGACTCGCACAGAGTTGATACCGGGCAACGCTTGCACCTCACAGCAAGAAGGGCCTGGTTTCAATTCCCGACTCGAGCGCCATTCTGCGTGTGGTGTTTATGTTCTCCCCTCATTCTGCATGGGTTTCAATGTAGAAGTGTAACTGGTGTTGACCAAACATCGCAATGCTGAAAAAATACAGTTGCTGCAAATTATTAAATTTGGATCACGCAGCAGCAGCAACATTGCCCGCTACTGCGAACACAACGAATCTTGAGACTCAGTGAGGCTTTCGTGGATAAACACGTGGAATAGATCATAATTTTACTTAAATATAATAACTTAAGCGGTAGTGTTCCTTTTATAAACCGGATTAGTGACGACGGCATTCATTAACCGAGCGACAACGAGCTGCCCCCGTGGCCAGGACTCACGGGGCCACCGTCCCTCTAGCGTGCCCTGGCTGAGGCGAGGCCAACGCCTCTGAGTGGAGACGCAGGCCAAGAGAGGTCAGCAACGGTCACGGCAACAGTCACGACGAGTTACGTTATCGTCAGAGGCTGCGGTGCCATGAGGGAGATATACACGGCGGCGAGTGGCCATGTACACAACCGTATGTACACAATGTGTACACTCTGTATGTGCACACTGCGTATGCTGTGTACACACAGCGTATGCCGTGTGGCCTATACAGCCGCGTGTCTCGCTTAGCCAGCATTCTTTATATGAGAATTCGCTATCGTGAGCAATTTGAATTGAGACCAATTTGTTCGCAAAGCGAGCAAAATGTTCACTTAGTGAGCTGAGACCAATCGATCAAATGCATCCCGTGGTGGTAGGGGGTGCACGGTGGCAGAGAGCAATTTTTTATCTCCAATAATGGCAGAGCTACTGATTTTGTTCGAAACACCTGGGACTCAACGCATCACCTGCAGGCGTCTGTCACGGATCTAACTCTAGACTTGCCACCTCCACAATGCCCCTTGGTTATCCCTTGAGAGGCGACCTCACCCGTGTGGGCCACGTGTCCTCGGGCCACATGGGGGCTATGTCATCAGGCCCATTGGAAAGACACTTACCCTGCAGGCCACGCTTTGGGCGTTAGCCTCTGACAAATTTCTTTGAAATGTGTTTACAAAAATCGCTGCCAGACTTTACATAGGTCAGTGATTAGCATAAAAGATGTTAACCTCTGATGCTAAATACGACTAGGAGCATAAGCATATATTGTTTATAAAAGTTGTGGAATGATTAAAACAGGTTAATAATACATACTGTACATCATGAATATAAAATACAATAAATCATGTGTATATAAAATACAATATATTGTGTATATATAATATATCGTGTGTGTGTATATGGGAAAATGAGGCATGCCTGTGTCGTAACGGGTATTGCAAGATCCCACCATGGCCATCCGGTGCTCGCCGAGCTACATTGGCTTCAGTTGCCGAACGAACACATTATAAGATCGCTCTCACTACACACAAAGTGTTTGCCACAGATGAACCACAATACCTTGCTTATCTCGTCATGGAACATAAACCACCATCATGCGAACTCCGGGCATCCTCGCAGCGGCGGCTTTTGGCTGGCCATCGAACAAATACGGTGATCACCGCATTGCACGCTTTCAGGTGCGCTTCTGGAACGATCTTCCTTCCGATGTTAGGAGGCCACTGGAGCTATGCACTTTGAAATCTAGATTGCAGACTCATTTCTTTAGATCTGCTTTTTGTGTTTAGTTCGTTGTCCTTCCACTGTACCTCCGATTAGCGCAGTTGGCTACGTACGGCGCAACAGAAGTTCAACACACGTACACACATATAACATACGTAGGAACAATTGTAGAGCATTACCTTGACTAAGATTTTCGCTTTCTTGGGCCACTTGTACTGCACGAACATCCCAAACGCCACGGGCACGACCAGCGAGACGAGGGTGATGCCTACAGAACAGCGACATTGGCAACAGCAGTGGCATCAGTGGGCACGGCATGGCATGCAGAGTGCGCGGGCCGCGTACACACACACAGAGAGAGAACTGGAAATTGAGGTATCTCATCGCATGATGAGCTACTTTGTTGAGCTATCATTTGTGGCCAGGTCATTTATGAAAAAAAAAGTTAATAGCTCAGTGGGCTTTAACTGGTAAAATAAAATAAAAAGTTTGCTTTTATTTGAAATTGTTTTAAGTGAATTTGTTTACCTTCTTATAATTTGGACTCTTATCGTGTTTTATTATTGTATGTTATTGTTGTAAAGTTCTGACCTGCCCCTGCTGGACATTTGTGAAAAAGAGCTTTGTAGCTCATCGGTTTCCTTCAGTATAAATACATATTCTGCTTCTGACCTGCATAGCATGCTCTTGCAAATAGATTCACAGAGCAGAACTTCTCTTTATCCGTGATCCTATTATCCACAACTCTCATTACCCATGGACGCTGTAGGGTTCGGGTAAAAAATAAGAATCGGCTTTACCCTTTCTGGAAATAAAAGCAGGAGGTGTGAAGATGTTCAAACACTAAACAGATACCTTTTAAAAGGCATCAAGTCTGCATTTAACTACACGTATTTGTGGCATAAACATGCAAACAAACATTCTCTGATAACATATGCATTGTCTTTGAAACACCTGAGTTATTGCCACAAAGGGTAAAACCTATTCTTATTTTTTCCATCTTCTTGGTAGTGGCAAAAAGGTCCTACATATGTAACTGCTCATCCCAAGCCATTAATACTTTTATCCTTGCATCGCTGTAGGGTTCGTGAACCTACCTACTATACGTGGCCCTATCACAATTATCTGTGGATTTTTCCTGCCCCTGTTTGTGGGACGGCTTCCCATTATCTGTAAATGCCAAAACGAATGAAAGGAATTGCCTGGGACATGCATCCTATTCTCCGCGGGTTTTTACGCGCCAAAATCTATTTACTGCGGTGAAACAAATGCAAATATGACTGTGCGCCGAGGCGGATTGATTGACGCGCAGTGCAAGATGCGCTGAAACACAATATGCATGTTGAACTTATTTCACACCATACGAAGCCAACCATGCTAATCGGAGGGGTAAAATACCATCAGACACAATATCATTGGACATCCGATGAAATCACCGATCAGTGATCAGTAATCTGCTCATGTATGAAAAAAATAAACTACTTTATTTTACCAGGTAAGGACCACTGAGCTATATATCCCTTTTTCATATGCGACATGGCCACAAATGAAGTGGCTTATCGCATGGAAATGTATAGCAGCCAAATACTCCAAATAAAGCAAGCGTAGCATTGCCCGTAGCGGCGTGTCTCTGCCCACATATGGTCTTGTGAATCCCGAATCGAGGTAAATATCATTTGTCACATGGGCATGGGGAGAGTGTTGCCCCCTCGCACACGTTATTTTTTACCTTTCCTATACTTTGCACTCCGGTCGTGTTTGTGTATTGTTTATTGTTTTAACGTTCTGACCCCTGAGCCCCAACTGGAACATCTGTGAAAAAGAGCTTTATAGCTCATCGGATTCCTCCAGTTATAAATAAATATTCTCATTCTGATGTTTTAATTGAAAAATCGAGCACTTCAGAAGGGGCCCCTGGGGAGACTTGCTGCCGTCAGTTTGGCAGTTTTGGCGCCCTGGGCGTCGGCGCACCGATGCTGTCGTAGGGGATGGCGATGCTGGCCGAGTCCGTCCACGTCTGGGTGTAGATGAAGAGGCAGAGCGGCATCATCCCCATGCCCAGCAGCGTAGAACACACGGTCATGCTGATGCTGCACACACATACACGTGAAGCGTATAGCACACGGTAATTTTACCTTGGTGATCTTGTCAAGGAGCATAAACCATCACGCGAACTCCAGTGGTCATCCTCGCAGCAGCGGCTGTCTAACTATCGAACAAAGACGGTGGTCACCAATTCTAGATTTAAAGCTTTCGTGACTGCTAGGATCCATACTCTTTGGTTCTATTGGGTAAAGTCACGTAGGTGAAAAGAATAATAATGTCAAGGGGTACCCCTGCGGATGTGTATACTTTAACTTAGCTATTTGAATGAGCCATTTCAATGTTAAATTATATGCTAATTCCTTTGTCAAGGCGCGTGGTCTTTTTCTTCTCACACAGCTTAAAGGTCGTGATCTAAGCGTGGCTTCTTCCACTCCAGCGCTGTCCTCCAGACAGTCTCGTCCCTTCACCTGATGAAGGCCGCTTGTGTTGTGGCCGAAACGTCGTGATTTTTTGTTATTTTATTTTCACCTACGTGACTTTACGCCAATAGAACCAAAGAGTACGGTGGTCACCACATCGCGCGCTTTCAGACGCGCTTCTGCGGCCGGCTGGAACGCTCTTCCTTCCGATATTAGAAAGCCACTGGGAGCGATGCACTTTAAGTATAGATTGAAAACGCATTTCTTGAGTTTGTTGGCCTTCCCCCGCACCTCCGATGATCGCTGTTGGCTACGTACGGTGCAAATGTTATTCTACACGTACAGCAGGGGGGCTGCGGAGCGACGCCGTGGCCACGGTGGGCTCAGAAAGTACGTTTGCATATGTACGGTATGCATGTTAAAACTTATTTCGCACCGTACGTAGCCAACCGCGCTGATCGGAGATGACGCGGGATCGGCCGCGCTCTGCGCAGGAGGAGCACGTGGGCAGTGGTGGGGGTGCTCAGCACGGCCAAAGCCGATGGGGGGGGGGGGGGGGGCTACCCACGGGGCTGTCTATAATCCTACACCATGAGATAGCAGCAACAGCAGCGGCGGGGGTTGGTGAATCACCGCACACAAATATGGGCTGTGAAACTCTCTTCCCGTGGGCGTTGAGGAGGTTGCTATACCCTAGCTCGCCAGGAGATGGCGGTATACAGCATTGTACGGATTAATATCACGTGCTCGAGATTGGTGCCAGAAGGATGTACAGACGAAAGTGGACATGTGCAGTGGACACCTACGGGCTATCTGCCCAAGGATCGTGATGATGTAGTTTCGTTTTTTTATTTTGGTATAGCCCTGTGAGCCATTCGGCTCTTGAATCGGGTGCAACCACAACAAACAAAAACACGAATAAGAAAAACATCCTAAAGTGACTATGTGACTGTGCATACAGAAAATCCATGAAAAAAAAACAGCAAAATATTCCTGAAAAAAGCACCGTACACCAACGATGTGTGCAAAAAATCCCAGTGGGATGCAAGTCAAACAACAACCACAAGAAAACTTAGATTAAGGCCATCGTACTACAACAAAACAAACATGTCCAAACCAAAAAACGTTTTAGAAATCACCAAAAAATAAAGCCATAATTGCAACGTAACAGTGATCACAGCGACTGTGACTGAATTTTTACAATAAACTACGTAAATAACATGTAACACCAAATCCTAGAGCCATAGCTGGCTGCATGAGTTACTCCACAACAACAGAGGCATCAGTCGGAGTATCAAATTTTTCAATGCACCTTTAAGATCAGCACGCTAAATCAAAATACAGATAATACTTTGCAGCGTCATCCGGAGCGAAACATTTTATTTTATTTTACGCCAATGAATAGCAGTGGCAGCTAGGGGTGTACAACTCCTCTAGAGCAGTTTTGAGAGAAGATCTCATTGGTAGCGATTCAAGTTGCAGTTTATTGGCAATAGCATTCCAGACCCTGGGGGCATCAATAGCAAAGGCCATTCCTCCAGTTTTTGTACGGCAATAGGAAATGTGAAGCTGGTAAAGGAGCGAAGAACTGAGGTCAAATTTGTTCTTTGAAACAGAGAGGAGATCCAGCAGGTAGTCTGCGGATTTTTTTGTAAGTACATCGTGAATAAATAAGATCTGGTGCACAAGACAGCTCCCCCGGCGACACTGGGGAGAACTGAGACAGTGGCTGAGAGGTGTAGGGGGGGGGACAAATGATGGAATGACAGAGCAGACAGTGGTGGCAGAAGAGGACAGGTTGGTGTAAATGGTGTCAATTTTGGTCTGAAAGAATGATAGAAAGGTGTTGCAGTTATCAGTTGTGAATGAGTTGATGATATTGTCACTGGGCTTGAGAAGTTTATTTAGTGTGTAGAAAAGAGCCTTCGGGTTGGTAGAACCAGAATGTATGAGGTGTGAGTAGTAGGTGGACCGAGTAGTGTTAAGAGCTTCCTTATACTACTGAAGGTAATCTGTGTAAGCTTGTAGATGAACAATTAAAGCAGTTTTCTTATGGAGCCTTTCAAGCTGACGATTACGGGATTTCATTTTGTGCAGAATAGGAGTGTACCAGGGAGCAGAGTGAGTGAATGAGACAGGACTAGAGATGGATTTAAGATTTCTGAAATAAATTGTCCTTTTGTCCTTGGTTGTAGAAATGGGGAGATCAATGTTCATGGTGATTGCCAGGTGGTCAGAGATGTTGAGGTTGTGGGGCTCAAGGAGCGGTATGGTGAGACCAGTAGAGCAGGCCAGATCCAAAATATGACCACGGCTGTGGGTTGGAAAGTTGACATGTTGGGTGAAATTGAAGCAGTGTAGCAGTTCCAGGAATTCAGTAGCAAATTTACAGTCAGTGTCAATGTGGATGTTGAAATCTCCCAGGAGCAGAACAGAAGGTGAGATGGCAGATAACTGAGTTAAAAAGTCAAAAAAGTCAGAGAGAAAGGAAGGATTTGGTTTGGGGGGTCGGTATATTATGGCAGTGACCAGAGCAGTGGGACCAGAGAGTTTAAAAGTGATGTGGTCAAAGGACTGAACAGCAGGGATGGAGATGGTGGATGTTTTAATGTCTTTTCTGTACACTGCAGCGACACCACCTCCCCGCCCCTCAGATCAGGGTTTGTCCATGTATGTATATCCTGTAGGTGTAGTCTGGTTGAGTGCAAAATAGTCCATAGGTTTATGCCAAGTTTCAGTGATACAGAGAAAATCCAGGTTATTGTCAGTAATGAATTCATTTAAAATGAGGCTTTTATTGTTTAGTGAGCGGGTGTTGAGCAAAGCCAGTTTCAGGTGACTTTGCTTCGTGGTGAATTGAGGGGACCGAGGAATGGGGCGGAGATTGGTTAGGTGCACGTGTCGTGTGTTGTGATGACGTATTGAGGAAGTTGTGGTGCGCAAACAGGACCAGATGGATGGAATGGAGTTTGGGGTTGAGTAGTTGTAATTGAACATACGACCAGAGCCTCTGTGAAGCGGACGGCGAATTAGTTCAGTTTCTCGGTAAATGTCAATGCAGTCCAGATGAAGGTGGTTGTTGATTGATTGGAAGTCAGCGGTGGAGTGGTGACATTATCCAGGTGTGGAGCTAGTGCTAGCTTGTACCCAGATGCCCGGTGTATTGTAAATGGGAGGGCGTCCACAGCTCCCAGGCGCCGCTCCGGCTTCTCGACGATGACGCTGTGACCGCTGCATGACGGGAGCCGTGGGAGCCGCGGCCGCAGGCCAAAACCACCGCCGCAACCAGCACCGCGCAGACGAGGGCGAGGGGGGAAGCCAAACAGGGAGCTCGTGATGTTGGTGCCACGTGGAGCAGTCGTGCCTTGACGTCTCTCGCTGCTGCAGTCGTTGAGTCGTGTCGCGTACGTTTGATTCGCTTTCACTTCCCGCGACACCATGGGGAACAGCACAGCCGGGTGGCTTGAAAGGGAATCCCCTCGACACGAACCTTTAGAAACCTCGTGTCGCCGCAATAATCAGCATCTTTGGTATGAAGAGGCTTTACGGTGTTAGGCAAAGACGACCCACATCTGCCCTGGATGCTTGTCCAGACGGTCGCTCCTCCTGCTCCTCCTCCAGCCACAAGGATTCCGGTGTCTGTTCCCAAGAGCGAAGCACTTGAGGCGTAGGTTGTCTCCCTTGAGCACCACCATTACCGCCGGTAGCTTCACCTCGATGCGCGGCAGCAAGCCGCCAGGTTGTCGTCGCCCTCGGAGCACGCACTGAGCCTTAGCCAATGGTCAAGGGTCATAACGGAGCGACAGCCAAGGAATGGAACATCCCCCGTGGAGATGGAGCAATGAAATCGGCCGCTCGGTGTGGAGGACCTCGGTGGATTGTTATGTGGTGCCGTCACAGCGGAGCCGCTCCGTCAGAGCCGTGCCCACCACCGTGACGCCGCCGCCGGGGAGTGACGGCGCCGACGCTGCGCGCCCCTCGCCGCCCCCCACATGAATGCACACACACCCCACGTAGAGCCGGGAGGGAAGGTCACCTGGCCGACAGGTTTTTATCCAGAAGCCCCTAATGGGATCAAGCTTCATGGTTTCCTGTGGCCGGGAAATTGGGCGATCTACCCCCGAGGCTGACGTGCACCGCAGCGCCGTGACCTGATATTAAAGTTGCATGGTCACGGCGGGGGCCGTTGAGCCACCGCGAGTGGAACCACACACACACAAACACGAGTCAGTGGGCTGATAGCGGGAAGAACGGAGAGCGGACGTCCAAGGAACCACCGCGGTGACGTCACCAGCGTAGGATCCGAGAATGAAAAGGGTGGGAAAATCCAGGCCTCTGATTGGACGGGAGGCCCAGGAGGTGAAACAGCGGAATGCCTTTGTTATAGGTAGGAAAAAAGGCGGGTGATTCAGGCAATAAAGGAGATAGTCCTTCAAGTCATCGAAGTCCGCGGAGTGTTGGAGCCGGCCGTTCGAGTCGTCCGTGTGACGAGCTTCAGCGCAGCCAGGCACAATCCTCCACGGAGACGACCCACAGCATCGCCCTTCTACAGAATCCGGCGCCTCAGATTGGAAGTCAGCATAAGTAAGGGAGACGAGAGTTTGGGTTAATTAATCAGAGGGTAT